AAGCACAGGTGTAGGTGCCCCGCTGCGTTTAGTTGGGGGAAAGGAGAGCTTTGAAGGCCGAGTGGAGGTCTACCATGATGGCAAGTGGGGTACCATCTGTGATGACCAGTGGGACGACCGGGATGCTGAAGTAGTCTGTAGGCAGCTGGGACTCAGGTAATTTCCCTGCTGCACATCATGGAGTGGTAACAGAAGTAGGCAGAATGAAGAATGTGAGAGCATGTCCCTTCACTATAGTAACAGCCCTTTCTACAGGAGGTATACAAAAACCCTGGGAAAGACAGTTCTGATCAGATTGTTCTATAAAGGGATTTTGTACTTAATTCCTGTCAGTTTTATGGATTTATGCTGTGAAAAAGAGTTGGTGCATCTAAGGTTTGTTTGTGTTTATCCCTGTTCATTATTTTTGCACACATGTCCTAATGCAAATCTTCTTGGCCTCAGTGATAACTTGGCATGGCATTTTCCATATGTGAACTGCAGTTGCTTACTTGGTTAAGTCTAAATACCTCCAGTTTCACTGACTGCCCGTATCCTCTTCAGACAGGAAAGCTAGAGAGAGCATCTCATTCTCCTGTATGCCATTCAGCACTTAACATGGGAGCTGTTGTATACTGAGTGTTCTTGAAATTCACATCAGTACAGAATTGTTTAATATAGACAATTCAAGTTTGAGAACCTTAGACTGTGGGAGTTTTGCCTGTTACTGAGATTGATAGAACATGGTCCTCAGAACTCCCCCGGTGTCTGAACTGTTCACGTTGCAGGCACGTTTTTGTTAGGTGTTGGAAGGTCTCGTTACAAAACTTTCCAATAACATATTTCAGTTAACAGCTGGCAACACTACTGTGTCAGAAATACAGATTATCTATAGGAGGACACTGACCTAGTGTAGGAGAGTCCCTGTGCAAGGCAGAATCTGAGGGCACAAGACCGTGACCTTCCTTGCTGAGCTTATGTGTCTGTAACGTTTGCAGTGGGAACCCAAAGGCCTTGTCGTGGGCTCACTATGGGCAGGGATCTGGCCCAATCCTGCTGGATGAAGTGGAGTGCTCAGGCAATGAACTCTCACTTGACCAGTGCAAGAAGAGTGACTGGGGACAGCAAAACTGTGACCACATTGAAGATGCTGGGGTCTCCTGTGACCCTTTTACAGGTACAGATCTACAGCTCTACGGCAGTCAGATGCAGCTGGTCTTACTCCCATAGCACATGACTTGCTCAGCAGAGAACCCCCCTGCTTCAGGATCCTGCAGGGCTTCTATGTATGGCTCCCACAAGGGCTGCCAGATGTGGAGGCAGAGAGCAAGCAGCAGGTAGGGATGGATCAGAGCCAGGCTTGGTGGTGCTTCCATGCCTTTCCGCAGGTGGCATGGAAAGGCTGAGGTAAATCCTTCCCTGACAGATGGGCATGTCTGGGAGCAATGCATGTTCGTTTTTTGAGTAGCCAGGGATATCTGTGGCTCTGGTTTCTTTCACTCATGGGCTGTGCAGAGCGCTCAGCCATGGGGCAGACGCTGTTTCTCTTCTCCCCTGCGGAGTGCTGACCTTTCCTTCTCCCACCCCTTGCAGAGGGCACTGTCAGGCTGGCTGGGGGCCGCAGCCCCAGCGAAGGCAGGGTAGAAGTTTATTACAACGGAGACTGGGGCACAGTATGTGATGATGGCTGGACAGACCTTGGTGCCCAGGTGGTCTGCAGGCAGCTGGGCTTCAGGTAGGACTGAGAGTGTGTGCAGTGTCTGCGCTTGCTAATTTCAAGGATTGGATTCCATCACCCTTCACTGGGATAGGCTGGACCTTAATCCTGCAATGCTGTCTTTGTTAGAAGGGTTATTACCATTATACAACTTTATTCAGAAAAGATTAATAGATATCCACATCCTTTCCAAGGGGGAGAAAAAAAAAATCTTTGTTATCTTTTGCCTCAGCCTGTTTTGAAAGCAGGTAACAGGCTTGATACTGTCTTTATGAACCCCTCACCAAAGTCAGAAAGTTCTCAACATTTCTTAAATTTGCAGGTGTATCAGCTCAGCACTGCCACCCCCTCTGCTCTGACAGCTAAACGGTGTCACCCATCTGCTCTGACAGCTAAACATATCACTTGCTTCAGTAGTTGAACAGAGACCATCAGAGCAAAAAACAGTAGCATTAGGGATTTTCATGATGCTTTTCTTTCAGCCTGTTGCTGAACTGTCGTCCCTCCAGGTATGAGTTTGGGGAAGATTTAAAATCAGGATACTGTAGTCTTGGAATCAGTAAAGTATTTTTGTGGATTTTTAAATATGATTAGGGTATCTTTGTAAAATTTCAGCTTTACAGACTGAAAAAAGACCAAACTGAATTCTCCCCTTTGAGTTCAGCTGCGTTCTGTGTTTGTCATCTCTTGTAGCGCCTAAAAGTTTGCAGCCTTCTGCATTTCAATTTGAGGTAGCTGCTTCCTATAAAAAGAAGTAGAATTACTTAAATGTTGATATTTTTGATGTGTCCTCTGCCAGTCCCTCCCCAAACTGAGGCACCTGATGGTGTCATGTCTGCAAAGCAGCCTCTGTGGTATAGCTGGCCCTCTGTGCTACGATGTCTGTGCCTTTGACCAGACACTAGAAAACGGACTGGTCTGAGTGGGCCTCCCTGAAAACTGAAGCTGCTGAGATGTGCAAGCTGCTTGGTTGCCAAGTGTGTGTCACCAAGTGGTTTAGGTCAGGAGGCCACCGGTACCACAGTTGAGCTCCGCAGGGCAGTTTCCCTTGGGGTCTGAGTTTGGGTCCCTCTGTGGGATTAATGAGTTTGAATGAATCTGATGTTATGTTCTGCTTCCTTCTTCTAGTGGTCCAGCTATTCTGGCCTCTGAAGGGGACTATGCTGCTGGCCAAGGCTTTATCTTACTGGATGATGTGGCTTGTGTGGGAACAGAACTGTCCCTCCTGGACTGTCCCCACAGCAACTGGGGACAGCATGACTGCTCACACGCTGAGGATGTGGGAGTCCGCTGCTCCCCGGAGAGCAACACAGTCATGGATGGCAGCCTGGGTAACTCGCCTTGCCTCTTGCCCTGGACGGTGGGGAAGTGTCACCTGCTGGTCTATTCCTTTGGGAGCCCTAGCAGATGTGGGAGTTTTCCCTGTGCTGTTTCAGTCAGGGGGCTGCTTTTTGAGGAGGATTCCAAGGAACGAGCCCTGGCTGTCTTGGGGCAGAGCCACAGAGCTGTGGCTCCACCAGACCTATGGCCAGACCTGCAAAGAAACTGAAACTGGAGAGAATTGTGTTGGCAGTCTCTAAAACAAACCCGAGGAGCTGAGGAACGATGGCTGCCTTAGTGTGCCGTTGCCCACTGATGAGACGCCTCAGCCCCATATCTGTGGGAACATGGAACACCTTTAACTACTAGACCTTATAGGAAACTGGTGTAGTTACGTTAGTGTCACACCTTGCCAAGACAAGAGGACTTAAGATGCAAGGGGCTGTTGTGTGGAAATTTGCACTCCCTTGTGTGGATGGCACACTTTTATTTAAAATTGTGATCGTATTTCAATTTAGCACAATTTCCTCATCTATGAGGCCTCATTTATGAAAGTCTCTTCCCTACTACAGGAGACTTTCCAGTTTGTCAGGCATTTTTTATTGAAATAGATGGCATCCGACACTTTTGTGTTTCCTGGATGTAGAACTCTTCTCTTGCTTGGAATAATGTAATAGTTTTATAATTTAATGGATTTCTTTCCCAGGCATGTTTAAGCTTGTCCACTCATGGCTCAGGAGTTAATAACTTTCCTTCTGTTCTTGTTCTCCTCTTTACTCAGCTTTCAGAATATGATCCACTAATGACTTTCAGAATGTATTAAATAAATTAATATGTATTTAGTCTTCTCATTCAGCACAGAGGTGAAATGTCTTTGTATAGAAACACTCCTTTTTTTTCTTTTTTCTGTTTTTTTTTTTAAGCTTACTGATATCTGGGATTCATCTTGTCCTATAGAACCCAAGTTCTGGGCACCTTGCACTCTCTGGTGTTTTTGCTTGCAAAGACACACACGTTTTCTCCTGTAGGGCCTCCTGTGCGGCTGGTGGATGGAGAAAGCACCAAGGAGGGACGAGTTGAGGTATTCCTGAATGGGCAGTGGGGCAGCGTCTGTGATGATGGCTGGACAGACAGAGATGCTGCGGTGGTTTGCAGGCAACTGGGATTCAGGTAAGAGCTCTGGTACATGCATCGTACAGATAGAAACAGCCCTCAGGGGGATCGCTTCTTTCTGGACCTGTTTCTGGGGGCTTCATTTCTTAGTTGTGGCATACCCACATATGCTTGAGGGAGTAGGGTCCTATTCTCGCTGTACTGCTGTCTGTGTGTGGAGTGACACAGAAATATTATTTCTCTTAAAACGTGCTGGTGCAGCAGGTTCACCTGCCTCCTGCTTACTGCAGATGAGCCACTCTCTCTCTAATTGCAGTGGTACAGCAAAAGCCAGGGCAATGGCTTATTTTGGTGAAGGCCATGGGCCCATCCATCTGGACAACGTAGAATGCAGTGGCACGGAGAACACCCTGGGGCAATGTGTCAGGCCTGACATCGGGATTCACAGCTGCTGGCACAGTGAGGATGCTGGTGTGATCTGTGACTATGTGGAAGAGAAAGTCCAAGATATCAGGAGAACAGGTGACATACCCATTTCTTCTATGCAGAAATCTGGAGTTCCAGTTGTAGGATCTCTGCATGCTTTTATGCTTTTTCCTCTTCTCTTTGGCTGAAACTTTACCTACAAAATAAGCATGCCACGTCCTGTACCTCTGACTTTTTCCTTGTTTTCATTGTCTCTTCTTAGGAGCACAGGGTGCTCCAGACTAGTGTGAAGAGCTCCTCCCACGTCAGGCCTTTGAGCTAGAGTGCTCCAGACTAGTGTAAGAGCTCCTCCCACGTCAGGCCTTTGAGCCTGCAGAACTTCCCCACAGCCAAGTCACCATACCCTTCCTTAGAGCAGTAACCATGAGCAAACTTTGGGTTTTAGAGTACTGGGGAAATAGCTGTAGAGATCCCATCCCTGGCATAAGACTACAGATACTGCAGGTAGCACCTTCACTGAAACTGAGGAAACCTATGGGATCACATCTTCTATGAATTACATATGCACAACACAATGCAGTCAACTACCATGAGGACTGATGCCCTCAGGGAAGGCAAATGGTGTTTGGCTCTGTGACAGCAATTGTTGCTACTTAAGCTGAAGGTATCTACCCAACTGCTCCAACTTTGCTTTGCAGGTCCAGAATCTGGTGTGTGTGGGATGCGCCTGCTTCATCGTCGCAAGAAAAGGATCATAGGTGGAAACAAGTCTCTCAGGTACTACCCTGTAATCGCAAGGAAAGCCAGAACAAGTTCCAGCTTTCCCACAGGCTCTGGAAAGAGCCTGGCAAATCCTGAGTACATTAACACATTATCACTGGTGACTTTTGAACTTGATTTGAACCAGTGGGCCTATCTAGGGAAGAACGCGCACCAGCTGAGCCCAGATGGGGCAGAGTGGATGGGAAACGAGGAAACCAGCTCCCATGTGTGTGACACCTATTATTCCTCTTTCTTCTTCAGAGGCGGATGGCCGTGGCAGGCCTCACTACGGTTGAAGGGTTTTCATCAAGATACTCGTCTGCTGTGCGGAGCAACACTGATCAGCAGCTGCTGGGTAGTGACTGCAGCCCACTGCTTCAAAAGGTGCGTTTGTGAGTGAGGAGCCCTGAGGGATACTCCACGATGAACAAGATAACCTCATACCAGGTTATCCTCCTAGTCTAGTGGAACCACATGAGAAAAGTTTCTAAACCAAGACCTTCAGGTTATGATGTGTGTGATCTTGGAGTACCTAAGGCAATGACTCAATATAAGCTTGCTTTATCCTTCACTACTTACACCTGCCCTCTTAACTCTGAGGCTTTACAACTTAAAGCGAACCAGCATTTTGCTATTCTTTGGTGCTTTAAGGAATTGTGAACAGATGAGGTCACAAGCCTGTTGCAACTATTGTAGCCCTTTTTAAAGGAAAAAAAGTCCTGTGCATGGTAGATAGATTTGGGACACCCATTGACTGCAACAGCTGGCATTATCACATCTGCCAAAGAGGTCCCAGAGTCCTGCAGCTGGCACTGTTTTATCGGTTTGTGAGGAGGTGTTTCAGTCTCATAGCAACTGAAACGTGTGTGAGTCTGTTTCTTTCTTAGTCGGAGTATCAAGATCTTGAGTCTCTTTTTCTCCAGGTTTGGTGTTGATGTGCGGCGCTACCTGCTGCGGGTGGGTGATTACCACACAGGCGTGAAGGATGAGTTTGAGAGGGAGCTGCCTGTGGAGCGGATTGTCCTCCACAGGAACTACTGGGCCGGCAGCAACGATAATGACATTGCCCTGGTCCGGATGCGGGGCAGAGAGGGGCACTGCCTCTCCTTCAATCACCACGTTCTGCCTGTCTGCCTGCCTGACAGGAAAGAGAAGTCTGACATCAACAGGCAAGCCTGCATCATCTCCGGCTGGGGAGACACAGGTGAGCGATGGGGCTTTGAGGGGCAAGAAAGGTGGGGGAGTCTGGATTCAGAAGCCTACATGGACCGTTAATTTATGTCTGCACAACTCAAAGCCCTGTTCTTACTGCTCCTATTGTCTGTGACAGTGCATGGTGTTAAGGAGTGGGGAGGTGAGGTGATTTTTGTGCCATTGTGTTTTCTTCTGATTTTGAGGCTTCTTGAGCCTGCCTATGGTGGAAGTTTTGGTTACCATAGCATTCCTCTGAAGCTCTGGGAGAGAGCAATGCTGCCGTCTGGCCACAGTCCTCTCTTTCTTCCCCTTTCTACATGCATGTTTGCCCACAGCAGACCCCTTAAGCAGCAGCCTGTGCAGAGCTGGTGTACAAAGCCTATGGGAGGCCCCTGCGTTTCCAAGACCTCTTGCCTTCATGATATTGCAGTAGCGAAGTGAGGGCTTAGAGGTGGAAGGAATCCCTCTCAGACTACTTTGCTTGATCTCCCTGGATATTGCTGCAGGGACAGCTGGGCTCTGAGGCTGGTGTCTGCACTAGGTTTGAGACAGCCTGTACCTGTCCTCTTGCAGCACATTGCTATGGAGCTTCCTAGGTAAAAGGGAGCAGGGAATATTCTAGAAAGTATTGATTATTAAATACTTAACTCTCTCAAGGTGATGTTTTAAAACGCTGGGCTTGGTGGAGTCCTGACATGGATGCATTAGCAAGGTCTGGAGACAGCTTTAAACTCTAAACAAAGCTTTATAACTGGCTGTGCAGTCCTCCCCCATTTGAGGATCAGAGATGCAATGCAGGTCTTGGGACAAGGAGGCCTTTCTGGGGCTGCTGTGACTGGAGCAAAGCCATACATTCATACATTGCTGCCAAAAGGCAAACAGCCCCAGGAGCTTGTCTATTGATTTTGCACTTACCCATCCTTCCCAGCTGTTTCCCTAGCTGTTACCCCAAGTGTTTAAGTGCAAGTATACATTTGCCTTTGGAGTCAGTTGCACCAGGTGCACATGTCACTTTGGGGTGTCTGGGGAGGATCAAGGAGCAACTTAGCCATGTATCTCCCTTAAGCTGTACTGGGGCTTAATGGCTAGAATCCTTCCCACGCACCAAACCCAGCTTTCCCAACTACTCTGTGAACTTACCATAAACCTTGGGCACAGAAAGGTCATGCTCTAATATAGCACGTGAACCTTATGTTCTGAGCAAGTCTGGGGCAGTAAAGAGATTTGAGCAAATAGAGACAAATCTGGCCAAAGATGAAGTGAGCTCCCTTTGAATAATATCTGGATGACTCTGAAGCATATTCCAAAACTTCTCTGAGGACTGAGCACTTAACAAATATTACTGCATTTATTCTTTAGCGAAAACGCTGTCGTTGCTTAATGGAGGAGGAAATGGAGGCTCAGAGAGGTGAAATAAATTGAACAAGGTTCAAGTTACTTGTTGGCAGAATCAGGAGTAAGACTCATCCTTTGATCTAACCTTTTTCTTCAACCTCTTCCCCATTTCTTTGATCTTACAGCTCTTTTTTGTGGTCTGGCTTGACAGCACTGTTTTCCGAAGTTCTGGTGGTTCAGAGATGCTGAGCTTGGCCTCTTTCTGTGCCACGGTCTTGACATGAAATGTACAAATATCTATTTTGTGCAGAACTCTGTTGCTCTAGGTCGCTGCTGTTGTCTGTACCTGAATTGGTCTGGCTGGTCTGTTCTGTTCCAGGGAAGTCCTATTCGAGAACCCTGCTGCAGGGGGTGGTGCCTCTTCTCCCACGGGAAGACTGTGAGGTCCGTTACGGGCAGAAGTTCACTAACCGCATGATTTGTGCTGGGAACCTCTCTGAAGATAAGCGGGTGGACAGCTGCCAAGGTGACAGTGGAGGGCCACTCATGTGTCAGAGGTCCAACGGACGCTGGATCATTTTGGGGATCACTTCCTGGGGTTACGGCTGTGGTCGGAAGGATTCCCCCGGTGTGTACACAAAGGTCAGCAAATACGTACCCTGGATCAAGAAAGTGACCAAGCTAAAATGAAAATGTCTGAGCTCTAGGAACTTCAACGTATGGTCCTTTTGCTATATGGCAGCAGAAGGCTGTAGCTTCTGGCCTGTGACTGATGGAGGTTTATTTTGTCATTGGACACTGTGGAAAGACTTTAGTGTAAAACTGGGAGAAAACCAGTTATGGCTGATTCTTTAAAGTCTTTGGTTTCACTTTAGTCCATAATCTCTGAGCAGAGAAAGCAGGTGCACACTGGTAACAATGATAAGTCTATGTTGCTCTGGGTCCTGTAATGCAATATCACACTTGTTCCTTTGCCCTGGCACACAGAAGTGGTAGAAGTGGAGAGATACTTGCCCCTGTAAATCTATTCCTGGTTTTGTATGTTTGCACCGTTGAAAAATGCTGCAAGGAAAGGTGAGATGCTTGGAAGATGGCACCAGGCTCTGGCATAGTGGAATTCTTCAGATATTTTTCCATAATAGCTATCTTCATATTCCAGGAATCAGAAGATTTGACCTGAGCTGAGGAACAGGCCAACAGTTGGGTTTTTTTTCCTTCCCTGTTATGTCTCTAGGGGGAACCTTTTCTCTTCTAAATAGTAGGTCTGCTCCCATATGATCCCTTTAAAGTGTCTGTCCCTGCTAAAAGATGCTTGTCCCTCCTGCTGTAATCCTCCATCACACATTTCCAGCTGGCAGATGCTATGGTTTTATTGCTGCTTTCTCAATACAGTCGTTCTTTTGTGCTTGTTTGTTTTTGTTTTTGTTTTTGTTTTTTTCCTTAAAGCAGCATCTCCTAGAATCAGTTGTTGGTGTGAGAGTAAATCTTCATTTTTAAGAGTGAATGGACATGTTATTTTTCTTTAAATCCAAATGTAATGTTAATCTCAAGCATTCAGGTGTTGAATCACAATTTAACAGCACTGCAGGGTCTTTCTGTTGGTACCTTATTCACCATAGTTATTAGCTGCCCTTTATTTGTGATGTTAGTCTTTAGTATCTCTGTGTTCACAGTTCTCCCATGAAACACGGAAATACTCTTGGAGTATAGATACACCTCAAGCAAATTACCCACTCCTTGTGGAAAACAGTAAGTGTATTGCAAAGCAGCTTCCCGCTTTCCTGAAGCGTGTCCTATTCTTGCAACCTCTGGGCTATGCTTCCTCTCTTCTCTTCTTTGCACTATTTCTCTTTTCATTCCTCTCAGTGGGAGTAAACTGGATTAACTGGAGGGTATGCGAGCACTGCCATCAAGCTGTAGTTCTCAGCCTGAAGAGAAATAATGCTGAGAGAAAGCAGGGGTTATTGAATACTTCAATTTCTTCCTTCCCTCTCATCCAAACAAATGAGCAGAGATTCCTCTTAGGCCTTAAGCACTTTTGTAAGTTAATTTATTATTCCTGAGTAGGTAGAAAAAAATAAAAATAGACAGAAGGGCTAAGTGCATTAACAGTTGTGCAGTGCATAGCGTCTTCTCGCTGTGTACAGACAAGCCAGAGGGAAGACAGGCCTGCTCAGGAGCAGGGGCAGTAAGCTTTGATATATAACCAAGGACCCAAACACAGAGCAATAACACAGGATGGGACACGTGGAACTTGTGCATGTTTGGGGTTCGCTCACGCACTGTAGGGTAGGCAATGACTGGGTCAGGCACTGGCCTGCTGTCCGGAAGGTCTGCACTCAAGGCACTGAGGTGTTTGGTACCTAGGTATTACCAAGGCAAGAGCAGAAGGCAAAGCATAGCCTGTGGATTAGCTATGTCATATTACAGGGCATACGGTGACGGAGTTCTAGAAATTGCCTTGGATCCAATAAGTACTGATTGCCTAAATCTTTAATTTGTCTTCTATAAAACAGCTTAATGTAAAGGTGCTGACCTGTCTAGGTGGCTGATTTTTGTGTGTGAATGCTAAACTAAATGGTTCCATTTACCCTCTCCAGGGATTATAGGATAGTTGGGTTACCAGTGTTGCAATGGACTGTTTAAAGATCCTGCTTGGAAACTTTATTTTAAAAAAGAATTGTAGGAATCTTTAAAACATGCAATGTCAGAACCCCTGCAAACTGGCCTTTGAGATAAATCTGATGCCCCTCTTCTTGAGGGGCTGAGTATCTACAGTGCAGCTTGTGCGGATAACCCTGTTTGAAGTGCCAGGCTTGATCCCTTGGCATCGCTGCGCTTGGCTCCGCACTGGCCGTGTTGTGCTACAGCTGCTGGCAGGCAGTCCCTAAGACGCAAGCTGCAGACCGCTTCTTATCTCCCAGGAATTAAAATGACAGGAGGTCTGAGGGCAATTATGTCACAGACCTCTGGTTTTGCACGGGATTAAATGCCAAGTTCCACACTGGCACCAACCGTACCTGTTTGGGAATCATGGAGGGATTTGGCTTTTACCTTTAGCCTCCTCCAAGCCAGCATACTACAGCAGCTCAAATGGGGTTTCTGTGCCTTGGGTGCTGTCACATCTCTAGTTTAACCTGGTTTGATCTTTCAGTTTATACCCATAACTCCAACAGGCATAGAAACACCTGAAGGATTGAAACTGAGGTTATTTCCCTAAGCCTACTTAGCTGGTTGCCATTCAGAAGTTAGAATAAATTACCATGTAACATGAGTGAGATGTAGGCCTGGCATTGTCTCCTGAAATTCCCATGTTCTAGTTCAAAAATATTTCTTTCTTCTAGATCTTGTCACCATGAAAGCTGTCAGAATCCCTCTAATTAACATCCCCTGGGTCCCTCATGAGCCAGGAGAAAGGAAGGAAGTATCCAATCTCCTTCGCCTACTTTTTCACCTTACCGGTACTGTAGGCAAGCCTGCCAATACTCTTTTTGGTTGTCCTGACCTGTTTCAGAGCACCACTATTGCTCTTTACTGTTCAAACTGGAACTGTGGCCCAAACCAAACTCAAGTGCTTTGCCACCAAGGCTTACTGGGATTGCCTGGTTGGATGAGTGGCACTCAGCTGCTGTAGGACTGTAATTTGTACCTAATGTTGGCCTGCAGCAGATGTTTCAAAGGATAGTACATGAGAGTTTGTACTGAACAAGTTTTAACAACCTTTCCTTTTGGGGAATTTTGTTCTTGGCTCATTTAAATTAATTACTTGTATTACTGTTATTATCATTAAAAATAGAAGTACAAGTACTTGGTCCTCTAGGTGTTATACAAACACTATGCACTATCCTTTTGTGATTTTTTCTTTTTCTAAAATGTGAGAGTTTATATCTCTAACTTTTAAAAAACTATTTAATATAACCAGCCTTCATCTTCCATATAAATGTTTAATCCCGTACTTAATCCAGCTAAGCTCTCTGCCTCAATATTTTCTGGCAATGAGAACCAATATAATTTTATTCTCCATAGCACATAATTTCTTTTTATGGTTCCTGAATTAATTGCCTTTGGTTTTCATTGAATCCCATCTGTCTTTGTGTTCTCAGCTATGAGAGGAAATAAGGGGCCTGGCTTTATATTCTCTGTTGTCCATTACTCTAGAGATAGTCCCTTTTCTAAAACTGTGGCTTCTCTGTATCTCTTCAACCCAAACTGTCTAGGTATCTGATAACATGCAACTGTCTGTCCATGTCTTCTCTTTCTGCTGGATCTTCAGGCTTTGGTAACCAGAATTGAGTGCAGTTTGCCAGGGGAGGCTGTGCCATCTGCTGATTATTTTCAATATTATTTTCTATAGCAGGCAATGCTGTAAGTGATTTCAGTGCTGTATGTGTATTATGTATGCAAGCTGGAGCTAGCTTTAAACTTGCTAGTGTGGTCTTGGTGGCAGCCTAGCTACAACAGAGTGAAAACCCACCAAGGTTAATTCCCGCCATATCTCAGGCAGGTGTGGCAGCCCCTCTGAGCTCAGAGCAATCGCTGTAGGTATCTCTGGGGAGCGTAAGGCAGCTCTGGGCAAGGAGCACCTCAACAGCTCTGTAGAGCTTTGCCTTGGTTGACCTAACTGTAAGGCTGATACAGTCGATCTTCGCAGCATTAGTCGGCTGGGTAAGGCTAATGCACATACATCATTTCCAGGAGCTGAGAGCTCAGTCACTGTTGCTGGTGGCTGCGCTGTGCCACATGGATGCTGTGAGACACCTTCCCATAGCAGTGTGGCATATGCTGGTTATGTGAGAAAGGGAACATTGCTATGACTGGCTGGGAGCATTGGCAGGAGTAGAAACTTGGCTATGGTAAAGGTCTAATGAGGAGCTATTAGTGCTCCAGGTATCCCTCTTTGAGGGAGTACCCCAGTGCGCCATGAAGGCTGACCCGGTGCCAGTGTCTTCCTGACCTGCAGTGCCTGCACTGGTACCCTTATCATCAGCCCTGTCTTGACATCAGTCCAGGCTTTGGCCAGCTGAAGCTGGATTAAAGATTTCTCCCTTTCCTGTAGCTGAACACTGTTCTGATGATTTCTGTGTTCTATGCTGTAATTAATCAGGCAGCTGTTTATTAACCTGGACAGGATGTTGATTACCCTTGTAATCTTTGTACGCTTGTAGCAGAGAATAATAGACCAGTTTCTCAAAGGTATTAGTGGAGGCATTGGTGAGGAATCAGGAACGTGGATATTTGCTACCTCAGGGGTAAGAGATGTGGGCCTGCCTTTTGTCTGTCTTCCTTCCTTTCTGAAGCCAATACCCTGAAGTCTCTTCACCCCCAGAAAAGCTGCAGTGATCCATCAACCACTTGAAGACAAATTTTTATGTGTATATTCAGCAATCAGATGAAAGCTTCTGAGGGATGAACTGCACTGTGGTATTTAACACCATCTTGATAGACTCGCTGGGAGTTCCTTGCAGCTGGAGGGAACAGAATGGCCCCTGGTGGTAACCAACTTGGGACCGCTCCTTGCGGAATGAGGCACTGTGACCCGGACTGATGCACATCTCTTGGGCTGTATTTTCACTTGTTCAGAAAAATATTTAATTTCCCACATCAAGAAGAAAAAAAATCACTTGTAGTGAGTAGTAGCCCACTCAGTCCTACTAAAATCCAGTTCTACTAACCAGGGGCTGAGGACCTCTGAAAGGAGTCAAGTGCCAAAACTGTCATGTCCCCTGGATCAACACCAATGGCTCACAAGGTATACTAATAAATGGATTATACCGTGACTGTGTGGGGCTCTGTCTTATTTTTAATAAAGGAATCTGTTCCAAGTGCAGGTTTTAGGATTTTTTTCATCACTGAATTAAGCTAATTAAATTTCTCTATTAATGTTATTTTTAGAGCAGCTTTAACATGCTAGAGCA